TTCAAGCCTAGAGATTGCACTGTCAAGAATGTTGCTTATGTCATCAGCATCAAAGAGTGGAACTGCTAAGACTCAGAATTGAAGGAAATTGGCAGAATCTCGTTCAAGGGACTGTGGCACAACTAAGTCTGAGATTTTAAAGCATTCGGCACAGTTTGGAGAAATGGATATTTTGATTAGAAGAGTAAAACTGGATGAGTATATACTTTTCAAATATATAGACTACAACAAGAAAAGAATCCTCAATCTGTATATATTAGATTACGTGCTTGAGTATCTTGTTGAGCTTGAAGTAGTACAATTATTCTAAGAGCTCTCCTTCCACTCTCTATAAACTTGTTTTCAGTACTTCAGAATGAGTCAGACACAGTGGCCAATTCTTGTCTAGTCTATGCAGCACTTCCCCATACCTACCACTTCCAAGAAGCTTGAGACTGCTATATTGACAACAGAGGAAATCTAAACACTTGCACAAATTACCTCTGCCCAAATCGCTACTACGAGCATCTAATAGCGCTTGTCACAATTAAAGAGCTATCATTTCTGTTCATAAACAGAGAACAAGAGTGAGAAATCTGCAGTTTACATACACTGGACGAGCTTACTCTCGAAGATCTTAGCCTGTTAGCCGCTGAGATGAATTAGCCTGTAAACAGGCCTCCAGGCCATAATACTCTAGCTCAAGCAAACCCCCTGGTAGACTCTGTCAATCTCCAACAGGTTACAATGCAGGATATGATGAACCTCATAGCTACACTGATCCAGAATGTGAATGATCTTATGGTCAGCATAAACCAGTTTATTAAAAGCGCGAGCACATGTCCAGCTGTGACCGCAACAGTTTTCTCTTTCCAGTACCAGTCTATCATCGAAAGCCCTCTACATTTAATGGAAAGTCCTCTGAAAAGGCTAGGCTCTTCTGCAGTGCCTTCCATGTCTATGTCAGGGCCAATAAAGAACTGTTTGCACAACAGATCATTAATGATGCCATTGTTTATGATGCTAACAACAACTGAATAATGGATGCAGGCAAAATGATCAGTGCAATTCTCTCATTCATAGTTGACAACGTCGTGGTCTGGACATGTCCTCGCATTGATGAATTGGCCAAAGAATGCACACTGTTCAGTTCCTCTTGGACGGAAGTTGTCCAACAGTTTTTGGCTAAATTTGAACTGGTGGATGCTATTAATGAGGCTAAACAGAAGCTTATGTCAATTAAGCAAAGGACTCAGACTTTCACAGACTATCTCTTAGAGTTTGAAACCTAGTCACAATGCACTGGCTGGTCTGAAGTGGATCTATATGATTGCCTCAAGTCCAGTATGAACTCTGACTACATCAACCGGCTATCCTACTTCCTAATTCTGGCCAAAGATTACGCTACTGTCAAAGCCTACAGAGCAACAATTGAACTGTAGAAAGCAGATTTGGCGGCTAATCAAGGCAAGCCTGTTTTGCAGCCCCAAGTGATATCTCGCTCTTCTGGTTTTCATGACCCAAATGCCATGAACATTGACACCATCCATTCTGCCGACATCTCTGCTTTCTGCTTTGATGATCTTTTCAGCAATCTCAAGGATTCAGTTAAAATTAAAAAAAAAGTTCAGTAAACTGATAGTTGGGCGCTGCAAAGTCTGCAGATCTAAAGGTCACAAAGCAGAAAGATCACATGAGAATACCAAGTGTTAGCACTGTGGGAAACCCGGTCATTAGAAGAAGCTTTGTCTTTTCTGCCTCACAGGACAACCAGCTAGGTCTCAATACGCCAGGGCTACATTGCTGACTAGCTCCTTGTCCTTTGCATCTATTGCTACATCTCAAGACTCTACTGCTGACATCGCTGGTTTCAAAGACATGATTGTCCTAATGCAAAAACAGCAAGTCAAGCTGATGGCAAAACTCAGCCATAGTTTTTAGCAGGAACCCAGACTAGAGCTGCAGCTTTAGAGCCCGGTTTAGATGAGCAGCCTTTAACAGCGCTGGCTCCTGTATGTTCAGACTCAGATTCCTCAGACCATATCTCATTGTGTACTGTATTGTCCATAGATCATCTCTCATTGCATTTTCGCATTTTTGTAACAGTATCTGGAATGAATAAGTTTCTACGCACTCTAGCTATGATTGACCCTGGTGCCACTGGTTATTTCCTACATGAGAAATTTGCATGCAAGAATAACATTTACAAACAACCACTCAAACAACAAATTGGCCTCCAAAATATTGACAGCTTAGTTAACAGTGCTGGTGCTATCGCCCACTACGCTAAACTTAAAGTTAGAATTGGATCACAAGCTCCTAAAGAATATGACTTCTTCATCATGGATATTGGTCCTGACAACATCATTCTTGGACTACTATGGTTAAAGAAAGTCAACCCCACCATAGACTGGGAAACAGGTGAAATGACGCTTTCTGACAGCTCAGAAGCATCGCCTGTTCCTTTTGTGTCACCAAGTTTTACCAAAGTTGAAGCTAATTGAGTGAAACACCAAGCCTGGGTGAAGACTGACTTGCTCAATAACACTGCAGATGAAGTTTACTGCTTAGCTGGCTACACCTACTCACAAAAAGTCACAGTCAAACAGAATAAGGAAAAGTGCTTGAAAACCTTCAAGTAGCTTGTTCCAAAAGAGTACCATCAACATGCTCATGTCTTTTCAGAGACAGACTTGACAAGGCTTTTTGAACATAAGCTCTGGGATTACACTATTGACCTCAAATTGAATGCTCCTTTAATAATCTGCTCTAAAGTCTATCCGATGAGCTCAGTTAAGAACCAAGAATTACAAGCCTTCCCCGATGATGCAATCAAGAAGGGCTACATTATTCCCAGCAAATTGCCCATTGCTTCACCTGTCTTCTTTATCAAGAAAAAGGATGGCATACTCAAGCTTATCCAGGACTACTGCAAGCTCAACAATGCCACTATTCAAAACAGATATCTGCTACCCCTTGCTAATGATATCATCAACAAGCTACAGGGTGCAAAAATCTTCTCTAAGTTTGACGTCTGATGGAGCTATACTAATGTCTGGATTAAAGCTGGAGACAAATGGAAGGCCACCTTTGTCACTAACCAAGAGCTCTTCAAGTCACGTGTTATGTACTTCGAACTGACCAATGCACCGGCAACCTTTCAAGCCCTCATAAACACCATCTTTGCAGACCTCATCGCCAAGGAAAAAGTTGCCGTATATCTGGACAACATTCTCATCTGGTCTTCAAACCTCACATCACACCAAAAAATTGTACACAAGATACTAGAGCATTTCAAAGAATACAACTTCTATCTATGACCTGAAAAGTGTGAATTTGAGAAAGACCAGATTGAATACCTTGGTCTTCTCATCAGCAAAGGATCAGTTAGCATGAACCCAGGCAAGGTCAAAGCAGTTACAGAATGGCCCACATCCGTGAACCTGAAAGATGTTAGAGGCTTTGTGAGGTTTGCTAACTTCCATCGTCGGTTTATCAAGGACTTCTCTAAGAATGCCCACCCATTGCATGACCTTACAAAGAAGGATGTTCCCTTCATGTGGGGCTCTGCATAGCAACAGGCTTTTAACACATTGAAGTCCAAGTTTACGACAGAACCAGTTTTCATGCTTTGGCATACAAACCAAGACACATGCATGCAAGTAAACACATCCAGCTATGCTACTGGAGGTGAAATCAGTCAGCTCAATCCAAACAACACTCTTTGGCATCCAATCACCTTCCGATCACAGACTATGAATGCTGCTGAGCATAATTATGAAATCTACAGTTGTGAACTCATGGCTATCATAGAAGCTCTCAGAGATTGGCAACATTTTCTCAAAGAGTTGCCCAAACCATTCGAGATCTGGACTAACTATGCCAACCTCCAGTATTGGCACACAGCATAATAACTTACGTGCTGACAAGTCCAATGGGCTCTTGAACTCGCTAACTATAACTTTGTGCTTACTCATAAGCCTGGAAAAATCTCTCTCGTTGCAGACTCTCTCTCTTATTTTAGCTCTCAGTACATCTCCAATGATATGGACAACCAGATGCAAGTTGTATTGCCAGACGACAAGTTCATAAGTGCCACCAACCAAGGCCTTAGCTCAGAACACTTCACATGACTAGCTGCTACAGCTTTTGTCATAAGCTCTCTATTAGAGCAAGAAGTCTGCAATATTATCTCTTCAGATGACAAGGTCTCTACTGCACTCTTCAGTCTCTAAGCAAAAGGACCCCACAAATTAGTCAGCAAGCTCACCAAATGGGAAGAAAATAACAGTCTCGTCTACTATAAGGGCGAACTCTACATGTCAAATGACGCCACCCTTCATAACAAAATCATCAAGTTTTGCCATAACACTTCCACAGCTGGACACCTAGGAAACATGGGACTGTTGAACTAGTCTTCCGCTATCACTGGTGGCTAGGCATGAACTCCACTATTGCACGATACGTGGCCAGCTGTGATGAATGTTA